CTCTCTGATTAAAAGTGCACACATTTTGACTACACATAGCTTTCCAGATTGCAGGGATGAGAGTGATTTTATTTTTAAGCCTATGTACCTAGGAGTCACAACTAGCTTACTGTTAGTCAGCATTTGGCCAAAGGTTGTTTAAGCTTTTTGAACCAGTGAAGCTTTTGGTGTGTTGATGGGCCTGCATGTATGGGGGAAATCCTTTTAAGTCTGTCCTTTGTCCTGCTGATTGTCCGAAGTGGGTGCAGCCCAACACATGCACACAGGCTTTTCAACACTAAGTTGACTGCTCCTAGTAGGGCTCTTCTTGGTTCCCTCTTTCATTTCTCTCTTTAAACTTCTGATTTCTTTGCAGTTTTACTTGTGCTAACTCCTCCTAATTGAACTTCACTAAGATCACCATTGCTTTTGACAATGATTTTACTGATATGGGAGTTCTCCATGCTCTGTTCAAATGAAGTGTTCCAAATGAAGTCAGTCCTGCAGGCAGAGAGCCACTGAGTTCTTTGTTCTTATCTCATTATTTCCCCTTGGGTAGAAACTCTGCACCACTAAACTGTAAGTGGGATCTGGATTAATTTTGCCAGGAGTGAAACAACCACTCTACTCTTGGGCAATGGGGTGGGGTGGGAAATCCCTAGTATTTATCAATTCCCTTTTTTGAGTGAAATCTCCAACCTATGATCAAAGTGGGGAAGAAAACATTAGGGCCCTGTTATGCTTAGCCTGTGCATGAAATAGTTTCTACCCTATTATGGCCTGAGTGTGTTCTCCAAGATTCCATGTGCTGGAAAAGTAATCCCCAAATTCCTATTTATTTGGCAGTGGGGTCTTTGGGAGGTAAGTTAAGATGAGATCATGAGGGAAGGGCCCCCAAGAGGGCATAAGTGATTTTATAAGGAGAGAGCCCTGAGCTAGGATGCTTCCTCTGCCTCACCATATGATGCCTTCCGCTAGGCTGTCATGGAGTAAAAAGGTCTTTACCAGGTGATGAGCACATGAAAGCACTATGCTCTTGGGCATCCTTTTGAACCACAGTTAAATAAACTTTCATGCTTTATAGATTACCCAGTTTCCAGTATTGTTTAGCAACAGAAAATGGACTAAGATACACTAAGGGGGAAGGGGCAGAGTGGCAGATGACAAGTGCAGTCAACTCTCCCTGCCAGGGTAAAACTGCAGCCCCAGACTGAGAGCTGGGGGAAGGAGTCCTACCTATCCCCATTATCTTCACATCTTCACCACACCTGTTCAGAACATAACACCCAGGTTAGAGCTTCCAGCACAGAACAGTCAGGTAACCTGGGTCTAGTGAGGCAGAAGCTATGGAGCAGGTCGTTCCTCAAAGGCCAGTCTCTTGCTGTTCTTACCAAGATTTAACAAATTCATCTTGAATGAATGCTTTGTTTCCTATATGCTCTTAGGACAACTTTCAAAAGTTTTAAGTGCTTTTTCTAAAATGACCTTTTTAAAAAACCAGTTAAATTGTTGCTTTGTTGGGGAAAGGGTCTACTGAGCTCCTTACTTCACCATTCTGGAACTCCTGTCCTTCAATTTGTTTTTTAATATAACTTATGAGTGGAAATGTGGTGCAGCATAAGGAGGGATGGACTGGTTGTCAGAAGTCAAGGTTTTCATCCCAACTTGGTCTCTAGCAAGCTCAGCGACTTCACTTGAAGTTTATCTTCCTCATTTGTAGAATGAAGAAACTGTACTAAATGACCTTTAAACTCCGTTCAACTCTAAAATCCTATGATTTTTTTGAAACTGAAATGAAACAGAAAGTCATTAGTGAACAATATTTTACTGTAGCTTTATAAGAATAGGAAATATGGAACAATCACTGACAACTTTTTGACAAAAAAATGTTCCAGTCTGTTTTTAGTTAAAACATACACTTCATTTCCAACTCCACCTAGCTAATCGAAATGCAGTTCAATGCACGGTTTGCACACAAGGCATGTCTCCATCCAAAGGTTTCCTTCTGAATCATTAATACTGAGAAACTGGGGGCAACAGAGAAACTAGGGGTCTTTTGCTGGTAGGTCATCAAAATACAACAGCTTAATGCTAAATAAAATTACTTTCTATCTAAAACAATGCCTGGTTTTCACCTTCTACATAAGGCTATAAGACAACACTCCCAGAATACCTATTAATTATGCATATTTATTTTGAGTGTGTAAAAGACAAATATTAGTTTTCCATGGACATTTCAGAAAAGAGTTGTTTCAACTGAACACCCATTTCTAGTCACAAAAACATAATGTTTATCTAGTAATGATTATCCACACAAGTTACTATAAACAATAAAACTGTAGTAAGGGCTTCCTTGGCTGAGTTTTGTCTTAACCAATTTATTTGACTTTCTATGGTTTACATTCAAAATCTATATAATAAAGAAGGGAAAAATGGGGTCTATAATTTAAGAAAATTGAAACTACAAACATATTTAAATGCTTTCAGTTACTAATCCACAACAGAATATCCTGTAATAAAGTTACAAAGTAAGAGAATTATGAATACACAGTGGCAAAAGTTGCTACCCATTGACACATCCAGTAAATAGGAAGGATAATAACAAGATGAGAGTATCGACAAACTGATGTAGAAACAAGGAATCATACAATTTTTCCAATGTCTATGAACAAAGTGTTAAATCATACAATTTTAATACATTGCCTTTAAAGCAAAACATATTTTAAAAAATTCATCTTCATAAATTGAGCTTTGTCAACATCGAAGAGAAAAACTAAATATTTATCTTAAGGTATATAAAAGGTGCAAATCCCTGCAAAGGAAAAGTAAATGCATATCTTGAGCTTGTTCCTGTCCAAATGTGAAGGCCTCTTTCTGATTTTCACAACTGACCCTGACTTGAGCTGTTCAAGAATTTCCAAATTAGCCCATCTGCTCATCAAAATATGTCTATGTTAAGAACCTTCAGGAAAGGCATCTGGCCCAGTTTATGATCCCAAATTACCTTGGTTTCCAGTTAATTTTTAGAAACTAGAATTACTTTAAGAAAAAAGTAAAATTTTCAATCTTCAAAATAACGGGATATAAGAATTAAAACCCTACCATCTTACTCAATTTTCAGAGCTCAAATTCTAAAACTGTAGCTTATTCATCCTGGTACATTAAAAAACATTGCTCCACTACTGATTTAAAAAATTTATACACATTATCCTTTTGTGTGAGTATGTAATAGTGTAATGTAAAATTAGTACATTATAATTAAATGCCTTTTTCTTGGCATTTCCTATGAGTGAATCATTGTAGGAAGCTTTTCTTTCCTCTTAATCTGTCTATTATTTTCCTGTATAGAACACCACCTTAATATGACGTAGTTTTAAGAGAAATGTCCTTAAGACTTAGTTATGGCCCCTACAGTAACTGTTTTTCAGGTAATTTTTTGTTTTTTTTTTAAGTTTTTAAGGTTTTGTTAGCTGAAAGTATGGGCTAATGACCACAATGGCTTAGGAACCACTTGCAATCATATGAAAGGAAAATAGCTTCAAAATGTCTTAGTAGGGAAATTATTCCTACCCTGAAAACATTCCTACCTTCTTGGACTAAATGTTCCCCACATCACAAAATAACTTGCTTTTAACACCGGTATAAACACTTCAAAAGAAATTGTTACTAATGATTAATTTTTATCTGCTTGTTTATGCAACTAAGCTAAATCTTTTACATCAGCATCACTGGAAATGTATAGAAGGAATTACAGAAGCAAAGTTTCTATTTAGATTTTAACCACATTTCCAATAATGTAGCTGATTTATTCAAAGAAGTGTTTTCTTTCCTTTCAGAATTGCAAGAGTACCTATGGCTTCAGATCAAGAAATATCAAAATCCAAAGCAAACGTATTTTGCAGTTGGTTATATATCATGTATCTCAGTGTTAACTTCAACTTTAAAAGCAAGATTCTGCATCACTTACTCTGATATTATAGACTAACTAGAAAATACTGGCCTCAGGCTACTTATCAAGTTGCTTTTAGGTATTTACCCACCAATGTCAACAATACAAATCAAAAATTACTAAGCTCTCCTATATTATCATTAAAACTATAAAACAATAAAATAAGTACATCAGAACTTTTCCTGAGAAATAAACGTCATTACATATGGTTATGTGGCCATCCATTCATGAGATACACAAGTTTTTCAAACTGAAGTTATTACTACCACACAAAACAAATTCATACTGGAAAAAAAGAGAGGTTATTTTCTTTCTTCTTTTAATTTTAGCATACAGGGTCTCACTTTATTGCCCAGGCTGGCCTTGAACTCCGGGGCTCAAGTGATGCTCCTGGTTTAGCCTCCTAAGTACCTTGGACTACAGGTGCATGCCACCATGCCTGGCTAAAGAAAGGAACTTTCTAAGTGAACATACATCATTTTAATAATTCTTCCTACCACGTAAAGCTGTTTATTTGGGGTTTTTTTCCGAAGTAAAATTTGAATATATTGCTTAGGTTCCTTGTTTTGTCAAGCTTAAAGGAATTCATTAAATTACTGAAAACCGAAGAGAAGACCTTATAAAGCAATCCTGAAGTGTCAACATAGACTGAGTTCTGTCATTTAAAGAATGTACATATATATGTAATTTTTCCTATTTAATAAATGTATTTTAATTTATACACATGTATGAGTATCATGTGTGCATGTACAACATCCTACTTGTTTCTTTGCATAACTTCAGATAGCAAAAGCAGTACATTTAAGATGGAAATAGAAAGGGCTATTAACTCCCTAAGATTTTTAGATCACTCCCAGTTTAGCAACTCTCAAAATTACATGAGAGTTTATATGTCTTTAAAGAAAAGTACATAAATTTTGGTCTGAAACAAAACATTGCCTTATTTTGGTGGAAAAATAAAATTCAAATCACTAGACAAGAGTTACAATTCTAGTTAATGATGAATAATATTCTATATACCAATATGAGAATTAAAGCTTTTCCTCCAAAAAAGTATATAGCTGGAAATACTTCAAAAACTGTAAGTATAGTTATCTATTAAGTAAGACATCCAAACTATAAATGCATGTCTATTTCTGAAAAGTTTTAACTTTAAATGTATTTATGAACTAATTTTCACATCAATGAAGTATTTCAATAGGAAGGGGTAAAGAGAATAAACAATAAACCTATATGTTCTCTTTTTCTTTTATCTTAAAAAAAAAGACCCTTTTCCTGCAAATTGTCAGCATAAAGGAGGCTAAAAATTACAAAAATTTTGAAACCAATCTGATTCATCTGGTTATGGATATCAAGTGAATGTCAGACTTCAAAAACAGTAATGGGGTAAGGTCAAACAGTGACAAAAATTACGCATTGAGCACAACCATGGCGGTAACAAGAAAATAATATGGGGATAAATACAGATGCCATATTAAACGGGCTGTGAAAGATGTCAAACTCAAATCCTCCTTTAAGTACATCTTATCTAAAAGGATTGTAGAAAGTGGGAATGTAGGATTTTCATTTTAATTAAATAATTCTGCTTCAGTGCAAATGTGAAGTCAAAAAAAAAAAAAAAGAAAAAAGAAAATGTCTCATATGACTTTCACTTTAGCAGGAACAGTTTCCACAGCCTTTCACACTGTTGACAATTTCTTCTTGTAGTTTCTTTCTTTCCTCCTCTTTGGACATATTTTCTTTCTTTGCATTCCATTTGGAGTTATCATAGTTCTGCACCCGGCTGCTCTGTGTATGCCACATTTCTGAATAGATACTGCCAGATTTAGCAAGCAAACCATAGTGGGTACCACGTTCAGCTACCTTACCCTAGAAAATGAACACAAGAGAAGCACAGAGAAAGGTCATTTAGCTAGCATAACTAAAAATACAAACTAATTTACAACTTAGGATTCTAAAGGATTTGCATTTATTAAAATACCTTTCACAATTCCTCATCCATAGTATAAAGAGAAAAAATTAAGGTAGGAATGTTTGTTTTTTCACTGTTGAGCTACCCAGTCCCAGTAAACAAAGGCTATGAAATTCCAATACCATAAACATCATTTTACTTAAAGAAAATCAAAGCTAAATGTTTAATTTTTCATTTTGAAGGGAAGAAAGGGAAGGTTAAAAATGTAAAAAGGTGATATTTTATGTAATCAGTAAATATTCAAATCAAAAGCAGTTATTTATAGAGATTTAAAAATAATATCCTGAAATTTGTGTATGTACTCTGAAAAAAGATTTCATGAAATGTTTTCTCTAGTAATTATTTTTTGTTAACAATGGCTATTAAATGCAACATTTCATTGATTTATATGGATTCCAAACTGATCTATAATTAATTTGTCTCATCAGCTACTGTTAAACACATTAGGATACAAAAGGAATTTTATCACTTTTACTAGTACTCCTTGTGATAGGACCTTTACAAATATACCCTTAAGTAAAATAACTAAAATTTGTGCCCATGTCTGAGTTCTGTATTTATACACACACACACACATACACACACACGTATGTATGTGTATGTATGTATGTGTATATATACATATATATGTATGTATATATATGTGCTATTTATTGATTTCTGGCATTATCTACTAATTTCCTACTATGGAAGATGAAGACTCAACACCTTAGCACTCTTGTACTATCTCACTTCCTGCCTCAGTCTTCATTCTCCTAATAATTATTAGTTACATCACAAATTCTGGTTCAGTATTTACTTTGTGACCTAAGCATTTGTAAATACTTCTTGTTGAGCCATGAAGGGTTTTATATATTTTTCTCATATGTTTTTTTTTCCTAGACTAAGTAACACCTCATTTTTTTTCACTTGCTTAGTTTTATATAGAACTATTGGCAATCTCTCCAAAGCTGAACAATTATATATGCTTCTCCTAGTTTAGCAACTGTTAAGTTTTCCACACTTGCTTTGTCTCACTTTACACTTCATATATGTGTGTGTGTGTGTGTGTGTATAAGTACTATTTTTTGCTTAACCATTTGAGAATGAGTTATACCCTAAATATTCCATTAGCATCTATCTCCTAAAAACAATGACATCCTCCTACATGATTGGAATATAACTGTATCACACCCAAGAAATTTAGCAATGATATGATACTCTTATCTAACATATAGTTCAAATTTCATCAATTGTCTCAATAATGTCCTTTATTATCTTTTTCCATCTGGATCAATACATTGAAGTTATGACAGCTTTCTAACCTCTTTCTGTGTGTGATATTAATAATTTGAAATGCCTAGGCCTATATTTTAAGGAATGCCCTTTAGTTTGGGATTTTCTAGTTGTTACTGATCATTAGACCAAAGCTAAATATTTTTGTCAAAAATAAATGATGATGTGCTCTCAGTGCATCACATCAGGAAGTATAGGAAGTCAATTTGTTCCATCAGTGATATTAAACCTGATCACTAAGTTAAAGGGCATCTATAAGATAAGATTTCTCTATTTAAAGGTAAGTTTTCTCTTTATAATTAATAAGTAATCTATGGGTTATACTTTTAAACTGTGTGAGCATTCTACTCCTCAATAGCTTTTTACTGTATGGCTTTAGAAACCAGTGATGAATGATACTTATCTGAATCAATTATTACAACAGTGGTTAGAAAATTTGATGTCCTAAAATTATCATTCCTTCTACATGTTAGTTGCCATTTAACTTAAAGAAAGCTTTCTCTTTCCCTAGCACTTTGTGTTTTAAAAGTATTGTTATGGATGCAGAAATTAGTTTTTATTCAGCATGTTACAATTCATTAGTGTCATTTTTCTTTTTGCTGCTCTAATTATTCCAAATTGGCCAGTGGGAGCCCATTCAAAATGGTTCCTGTGTCTTTGTGGCATGTGTTCATTAGTTTCCCTGCCCCAGATCTGGAGTCAGCTCCAAGGATGCTTGGCTTCTTTTGGTGAGAAACAGTAACTTAATGCCCCAGATCTGTGCTAGGTATATATGTATTGCTACCAGATTTTCATTGTTTCTAGGCCTTTTCAGTGAATAGTTAGAACACTTAAAATATCCTCAATTCATACTGATAATTCTGTTCCAATATCAGGAGATTTATCCTCTTCTTTGACCAATACTTTTTGTATCTTTCTTCTCCCAAGTGAGAGCTCTATTTCTAACAATATCAATGTATTTACTCATATGCTCAGTGTTAAAATATATACAAAATAATTTTAAAATGGCCACCCCATAATACCATCATCAACAAACATAACTAAGTTCAAGTTTTCTTTGGAGTTATTTTTACTCTTATAGTTCACTAAGGGTATATAATTGGAGTATTATATTCAAAAGGTACTTGGATTAATTCTGTTTTTCTTCTATGTGGTTATCAATTTGATAGTTTTGCTTTCCCTTTGTTTTTTTCCATGCTTGTTAATTTTATTTTGAATCTATAAAAACACTAACATGGTTCAAAAGCAAAAGCAGTACAAAAAGTATATTCAGGAAAATCTAATTCTCTTCTTTACCTCTTGCAACCCTTTTCTGCCCCTACCTCATTAGATAGCCAACTATTTTAATTTTAAGTTTATCCTTCCTGAGTTTTCTTTTGCAAAAATAAGCCAGGTATATATATTCTTTTCCCCAATCCTTCTTGCAAAAAGTAACACACTATATACTCTTTTGCCCTATTTTATTTTCTCTTAATCATATATCCAGGAAGTCATGCCACATAAGTTTCCTTTTCTAAAAAGCATCTGCCCTTATTTTAGAAATGGTGTAAATTTCATGACCTCTAGGGATATTAATATATTTTCAAGTTTTGTTATGCTCTCTGCATTGTCTACATTTTCTTTTCTTTTTTGTTTTTTATTGTTTTATTATTCATATATGCATACAAGGCTTGGGTCATTTCTCCCCCCTGCCCCCACCCCCTCCCTTACCACCCACTCCACCCCCTTCCTCTCCCCTCCACCCCCTCAATACCCAGCAGAAACTATTTTGCCCTTATCTCTAATTTTGTTGAAGAGAGAATATAAGCAAAAATAGGAAGGAACAAGTGTTTTTGCTGGTTGAGGGACCTGTATACATTTTCTACTGAACTCCTTTTTTTGCTGTTTGTTTTAGAGGTCTTCTTTTTACTATCCACCCACTAATATTTAATAATGGAGTATTAAAAAGTTGACTGAGAGCTCTGTGTGCATGGGAATGGCCTTCTCAACTGGAAAGTCTCAACTGACAGCATTTTTGTCCCCCACAGAAGAATCCTCCAATTAACTGCTGATAAGGGAAGTAATGATGATGGCAGAAATAAACAAGTGGTTGGCAAAGTTCTTGGAGCCAATGGCATGAGAAGGCCTGTGGTCCTATTCTTTGGTATCATATATATGTATTTGAGGGGGTGGGGTACTGGGGGTTTGAACTCAGGACCTCACGCTTCTAGGCAGGCACTCTACTGCTTCAGTCACTCCACCACTCCTTTTTTGCACTGGGTAGTTTCAAGATAGGGTCTTGTGAACAATTTGCCCCAGTTGGTTTCAACCATGACCCGTCTGATCTCTGCCTCCTGAGTAGCTAGGATTACAGGCATAAGCTACCAGCACCCGGCTCTTTGTTATATTTTGATTTCCAATTAATTTTTCCTTTCTTGCTAATGTGCTTGGTGGTTTCCATGTGTCCAGAGCTATCTTAAATTCCTGATAAGAAACCCACCGACTCCTTGCTAAGGGTGACAAGGGTAAACACCAGGCTGTGGAATGTGAGCCCTAAAAACTCTATTTCTCATACAAGTATTTAATTGTTTCTTCTTTTTTGGTAGTAATGGGGGTTTGATTCTGTTTCTTTCTTTTATATCATATTTTTATTCATTAATGAATATAATAAACCAATTTTTTATGGTAATGGGGTTTGAACTCAGGGCCTTGTGCTTGCTAGGCACACTTGAAGCCACACCCTAGGTCAAAATTTTCTTAAGAACATATAGGGCTTACAGGAGTGTTTCTTGTATGGTTTGTTTTCTTAGTCATTGTCCACAGGACTCAGAAGTCACAGGAATATGCAGGCTCAGACTCAAGGCCCAGCTTCTTCTCCAACATTGTGGAAAGGGGCTGTACGTCATGGGGCAGAGCCCTATGTTCCTGTGTGCCACTTAGAGCCCAGGGAGTGTGGCCTCCTGGGGTATCCATGTTGGATAATTCTGTTTATTTTCAATCTCATGCTCACCTTTACTTTCCATGATAACCTTGATGCCTCCATCCCTGAACCCTTTCAGAAGGGTCTACAAAATGAATTAAGTCACTTTTTATTGATTTCTGTCCCTTTTGGCACACAGTATTCAACTCTGTCAGCTCTGCTAATTTATTTACTTCACACCTTTCCTATATTTTCTGATATCTCTTATCTACTATTATTTCCCCTCCTACTATCTTTGTCCTTGTGGATTTATACTAATCATATCCCTTTGCTTTTTTAGTAAAGTTAGAGGGAGAAGAGATAAACAAATATTTCCAGTCTTCCATGTTATCCAGATGTCCCCTAGATATGCCATCTAACATGAATATTATACAAGACTGCTGACAGAATACATGAGGTAACAGACCACTAGCTGAAACTAAGGTCACGTAGTTAAGCAAGTATAGAGTCAACAAATATTAATGTAAAGAGATTTTAGGTACAGGCACAATGGTCATTGATAAATTAGTTCAATTATAATTCAAAGCTTAAGTAGCAATGTTGAGATATGGACACTGTGAACCTCACAACATGAGGCAGGTAAATACATGCCTGGTAAAGTACTTTAATATTTTCTACTAGTAAGAAGAGGCTCTTATTGCATGACCACACAGAATTGGAAAACTTAGTAAAAAGCACAAACAGCATATTTTACTTCAGATTTTTTACACCAATGATAATAAGGTATAATTACAAACTTTTCCATTTAAGAAATTCTGATATCATCATACTGGAAGAATTAGTTTATTTTCCAATGAATGTAAAGATTTGAGAATACACTGACAGAAAGGTATAAAATCACTTATAAGGAAATAGTATATACATCTTAGAACTGAATATTCTCTAAGAAGTTTTGGTAGAATGAAAAAAATTCCTCTCAATAACTCAAAAAACAGAAAGCTTATCAAGCTTCTTTTTCTCTTAATTCTCAGTATACAGGTGTTCAAAAAATGATAAAAAATTGAAGGTGTATTGATTAGAAGGAAAAATAATCATAGAAAAGTATGATTGTGATATAGAAAATTGAACAATATTAGAAACAGTCAAGTACTAAGGGGTGAGGAGGAGAGATCCTTATAGAAAGAAGAAAAGGAAAATTATTACAGTTTTCAAATCTATCAATCACAACAGTGGTACTATGATTTGCTAAAAACATTTAGATAATATACATATATCATAATTCCCTCAGAAGAAATAAAGTATTTTCTTACTTCCCCATACAGAAAAACATATACATAAAAATGACCACTTTATATTATGGCAGTTTTCTTTTACACATCAAGGGTATATGCAGTATTAGAAAAATGAAAATGTAAGTGGGGGCGGGGGGAGAGGTGGCCCAAACAATGTATACACATGTGAGTAAATGTAAAAATGATAAAATAAAAAAATGAGAGAAAAAAATGAAAATATATACTACAGCCAAGACAATGAGCAAATATTCTCTTCAGAGCTAAAATGAATGCAAGAAAATTATATATATATACATATATATATATATATATATATATATCTCCTTAAAAATCTGATTCTATCATAAAGATTTAATGCTTTCCTGATCAAACTTTTGCTTTCAATACTTTAATAAATGAATCAAAGCAGTTTATTCCTTCTTGGAAAATCATGCATTATTTCCTAGGTAAGAGGCTAAAATTAGAAATCTAAAGAACACAAATTCTTTACTTATTAGAAACAATATTTAAGTTTCTCATATCTATAACAACTTCCAATATTCTTCAAATACTAAATGTTAAAGTTAATCTCTTACCTGATCCAAGACAATGATTTCGTCTGCATCAACCACTGTTGATAATCTGTGCGCAATGAAAATAGAAGTTCTGTGTTTGACCATATCCCTCATGGCACCAAGAATAGTCTGTAAGTTTGATAACAAGAGTAGGAGAAAAAAAAACTCCCATTAGGTAGACAGAAATTAAAATAATCATACCTTTCTCAAGGCATAGAAAGAACACAGAAAATGTCAATTAATTTATTATGTAAACTTAGTACCAGAACTAAATGCATAACATATAATACTTACTAAAAAGAACAGGAGAAAATCAAGGAAAACAGGAAGGTATATATGAGGACAGAGTCATAGAAAAAACTATCATTTAGACAGGCAACATTTCTCTAAAATACAGAGTCTGGGAGAAGGTACATGTTTTCTACATACAAAAACAAACCAAACAAATAAACAACAACTCTAGTGATATCAGGAGTATAGCCAGACATGTTTATCAATGAGAACAAAATTAAAATGAGGGGGGGAGGTGGCCCATACAATGTATACACAGGTAAGTAAATGTAAAAATGATAAAATAGAAAAATAAAAATTAAAAAAAATAAAATGAGGAGAGACTCAAGTGATAGGAATAAGAGAAATTCAAAGTAATTCAAGGAAAGATAGGGAGATGAGCAGGGTACAGGAACATTTGCTCTTCTATTTGCTCTTCTTTAGTACACACTCAGAAGGGGAGACTAAGACATCTGTGTATTTTTAACTCAAGGAAGCTGTTTTTCAAAAGCATTTTGACTTCTTAATACATTCTGGAAAATACATTTTGTTTACTGCCTGTAAAGTATATATATATCATAATACATATATATGTGTATATATTTTTTTCTAGCTATACTTAGAAACCTGTCTAAGTACAGGTAACTGGATGGAAGTAGAAATGTGAGAAATGGATATACTCACTGGCTTCCTACAGATATTTCTAAATATTTTATTTATGAAATATATAAAATTATTGAGAGCAGATGGGTACCTGAAAAGAAAACCTTTTATTTCACTAAGGCAGACTGAAAATCAAGTGCACGGCCATTCCAGATTGAAGGAAGGTTAAGAAGGTAGACTAAAAGCACCCAACTCTAGCAGATCTGGGGAAGTGAAAAAGATCAGTGGCACTCCAGCCATTCTTTCATCTAATCTTCTCCCCAAGTGACGCAGGGAGCTAGACTGAGTACAGTGGGTGAATGGCTGACTCCTGGGCCACACCCCCCATCCTGTGGCAAGAATTTACACCACAACCTGGTTACTACCAAGTTGCATAAACACTGTGAATACTTCAAATGAAAGGACCCAAGAGATAAACCTCTAACAAAACACTTGGCTTCAGACACGTAAATCCCAACACAGAAACACAAATCATGTGAAATAAGACAACATAACCCCTACAACAGTCAACAATTATACAACAATGGAATTCAATGACAGTGAAGTGAATGAAATCCCAAAGAAAGAATTAAAAATGATCATAAGAATGATCAATGAAAAGAGTCTAGGAATAAATGCTGGAATGAATTTCAAGAGAATAAAAACATACAGGTAAATGAAATAATGAAGACAATGCAGGATATGAAAGAAGAATTCAAAAAAGATACAGAAATCCTGAAAAAATATCAAATTGAAATTCTAGAAATGGAAAACTTAGTAATCAAATAAAAAACTCAGTTGAAAGCCTCAGAGCTTGCAGAAAAGGCAGATGAACTAGACTATTCACATAAGATAAAGGAAAAATAGTAAGAAAGTATGAATGGTACATATAAGACCTCATGGGCATAGAAGAAGGATAAGAGGTACAAGCCAAAGACACAGAAAACATATTTAATAAAATAATAGCAGAAAATTCCCCAAATCTTGAGGAGACAGACATGCTTTTAAGACACCAAACAGACAAGAAAAGAACCTCTCTAAGATAGTTAAAGCATTAAATATATAGAACAAGGAAAGAATACTGAAAGGTGAAAGATAGAAGTGCTAAGTCATATATATAAAGACATACTTACCAGAATAACAGATTTCTCAAGAGAAACTCTAAAGGCAAGGAAGGCATGAAATATTTCAAGTCCTGAGAAAATTAACCACCAACCTAGATTACTGTATTCAACAAAGGTATCCTTCATAATTGAAGGAGAAATAAAAACCTTCCATGATAAAAACTTGAAGAATTCATGACTACTAAGCAAGCATTGCAGTAGACACAGGAATTCTACACACATAAAAGTAAAATAAATGCAACCATGAAAGTAGGGGAAAAAATTTAAATCCCACCAGATGAACAGATAAGCAAATAAGGATTGGGAAAAAATCAAACATTACAAAAACAACAAAATGACAAGAATTACTACACATCTTTCAATAAGAACTCTAAATGTTAATTGTCTCAGTACTCCAATCAAAAGACACAGGCTGGTGGGCTGGATCAAACAAAAGAAAAAAAAAAAAGACCCAACCATTGTTGCCTATAAGAAACACACCTCACTGGCAAGGATGAACACAGACTTAAAGTAAAAGAATGGAAAAAAGATTTTCCAAGCAAATGCAGCCTAAAAGCAAGCAGGAATAGCTACATTCATATCTGACAAACCAAAATTAGTCAGAAGAGACAAAGAAGGAACCTTCATACTCAAAAAGGGAAAAATCTATCAGGAGGATATAACAATGGTAAATATATACACATCAAATGTTGGCTTACCCAATTTTATAAAACAAATATTATTGTATATAAAATCACATAGAAACCCCAACAAAAAAATTGTGACTTTAATACCCTACTCCCACCAATACATAGGTCATCTAGACAAAAAAAAAAAATCAAAAAAGAAATTTCACAATTAAATGACACTATAGATCAAGTGGACTTAACAGACATCTATAAAATATTCCACTCAACAGTTGGAAAATATATTCTTATCAGTAGCTCATGAAGCTCTCTCCCAATTTTTTTAGGATATAAAGCAGGTCTTAACAAATATAAGAAAATTGAAATAACTTACTCCTGTATTTTACCAGACCACAGTGAAATAAAACTGGAAATCAATAGCCAAAGAAACCACAGAAAATATTCAAACACATATATTGTTGAATGACCAGTAGATCATTGAAGAAACATTCCTAGAATCAAATGAAAATGAAAACAATTTATCAAAACCTCTGGGGCACAGAAAAGACAGTGCTAAGAAAAAAGTCTATATTTATGAGTGCCTACATTAAAAAAATCAGCAAGATCTCAAATAAGCTAAGGATGTTCCATAAGCTCTTAGTAAAACAAGAGCAAGACAAACCCTAAATTAGTAGGTGGAAAGAAACAATACCGATCAGGACAGAAATTGATGACATGGAGACTAAAAGTATAATACAAAGAATCAATGGAACAAAAAGTTTGTTCTTTCAGAAGGTAAGATCAACAAACCCCTAGTCAAACTAACCAAAATAAAGTGGGAGAAGACCCAAATTCAAAACGGATCAAAGATCTTAACGTAAGAACCTTTGAAACAACTATAGTAAAACTTAGGGAAAACACTTGAAGATATAGGCATAGTCAACAACTTTCTCACTAGGATTCCAACTGCTCAACATGGAAGAGCACAAATTAACAAATGGGACTACATCAAATTAAAAAGCTGTGCAGTAAAGGAAACAATTGCCAGAATAAAGAGACAACCTATAGAATGGGAGAAAACTGCCAGCTATTCAGTGAATAAAGGATTAATATTCAGAACATATAAAGAGCTCCCAAAATAAGGCTCAAAAGAACAAACAATACAATCAATAAATGGGCAAATGAATTGGACAGTTCTTAAAAGAAGTACAAATGACCAATAAATACATGAAGAAATGTTCAACATGCTTAGCCATAAAGGAAATGCAAATCAAAACTACCATGAGTTTGCCATTTCACTCCTTTCAGAATGGCAAATGTCAAGAAAACAATAACAAATACTGGAAAAGATGCATGAAAAAAGGAACTCTCATACACTGCTGATGGGAATGCAAATTAGTGTAGCCAAGATGGAAAGAAGTATCACGGTTCCTCAAAAAACTAAAATATAACTACCATATGATCCTGCCATACCATTCATGGGTGCATAGCTGAAGGAACGTAAGTCACCATACAATAGAGATACCTGGTTGGCACTGGTAGTATAGTGGAGCATAGCTGCCTTCCAATAGATACCTGCACATCAATGTTTACTGCAGTACTATTCACAATATCCAAGCTATGAAATCAGCCTATGTGTCCAACAATCGATAACTGATGAAGAAACTGTGGTACATATACATAGTGGAGTGTTATTCAACCATAAAGAAAGATGGAATTTTTATGTTGTTTACATGAAAATGGCTATAACTGAAGACCATCATATTGAGTGAGAGAAGTCAAGCTCAAAAAACAAATTTAGCATGTTTTCACTCATATGTAGAATCTAGAACTAAGTATCAATATGGCATAATTATAAAAGGAGAACTGATCGGTGAGGGGAACCCACAAGAGGGAGGACTGAAAAAGGAGAGTGATATAGGATGGCTATGACTAATTTATACTATATGTATGTATTAGGTATATGTAATGAAAATAGCATAATGAAACTCACTAAAAACTGTTTAATGGGGGGAAGAAAGAAGGAGGGTTGAGTCAGAGTGGTGGGTTTGATTAGGGAGCATCATATGCATGTGTGGATGTGTCAGTGAAACTAATCCATTGTACAATTAGTTTCTGTTAAAAAATTGCAGGGCCAATACTAAGAAAAACTGATGTGGAGACTCCCATTTCTTACTTACAAGAACTTAAACTCTGCCATTCTACAAAGTGTTTTGGACTTTTAAAAAAGGCCCATTAAAATTGACTAAATCTTGTAACTCCTTCCCTGGGGGGTTCTCTGTAAACTCTCTTAATAGCTTATGTTCTTATGTGACTCAAAAACTTGGTAGGAATTTTAATTTGTGGTAGTATGACACAGTTTTAGGTATACAGTTCTTGTAAATAGGTTCCTACTCTTATGAATGGTATCTGATCCTACTTAAGGTTCACTTTAAGTCCAACAAGTTCTTATGCTAATCAATTCACTTTAAAATTAAACTATTTTAAATATGCTGATCAAATTATGTGCCCTAAAACTCAACTCCATATACAAATATTACATCATACAACCCATAAAGCTGAAAGTAGACCAACTGTTCAACATTAGGTTCATATCATGCACTAAGTTAAAAGTTAGGTGTATGGTGATAACTGACATTTGCCTACTTTCAGTTTTAGATTAGGGGATCTGTTCATGAAATTATCATTGCTGCTGAGCCTTTTGTATGAAATGCAACAATGTTAGTATATACAATATACACTGTATACAATGTCTACATTGTTATACAGTGTACTGTAGTTGCTACAGTAGTATCATGCCATCAGTGTAAGAACATCTTAGTGTTTCACCCTTCTTGTGAAATGAATACAATACCCATACCAGTGCTGAAGGTTGTGTGTGCCTGCCTTGAACCTCAGTGAGTTGGTCCATAAGTGAAAGGCTTTGCTGGTGTACACTGTGTCACAAATGTCACAACCACGTATATGACTTGCATTAATGAGTGTTAAATGGCAACAGGAGAGACTAAAACACTCTTCCTTGTAAGCATATTAAGCAACTTGTACAGCTTTGCAAGATGCAAGGGTAATATGACAATAGCATAAGGTGTCACACAGTTCCAAAAGGAGACATTTGCAAACAGATTTAACAATGGTGATATTTAGTTCAATGCAACTTGGCATTCTTACCATTAACATTTGTCATGTAAGGGAGAAAGGGCTAGGTATTTTGCTCTATAGCACTTCCTACTGAAGGTCATTCAAAATACAAAGTAAGGCACACCTTTTACTGAAATTTCCAAGGAGAGAAGTTAAATATTAAGGAGCTCTATATTTCATCATTTACCTCTTCAGTAATTGAATCTAATGATGAAGTGGCTTCATCATAGACAATGATTGGGGGGTCCTTCAAAATGGCTCTTGCAATTGCTACTCTCTGCTTTTCTCCTCCTGATAAAGAAAAAAATTAAGGAAACATAATGCAGAAATATTGTATGTTTCTAGTACTTCTACTGACCACAATCACCAAGTTACATCTTCAACATTTACCTATATTCCTTTCACTGTTCATTGTACTGCACTATAGAGTATAAGTTCATATACAACTTTCAACAAACTTTATTCCTTGGAACATAAACATAATACTAAAATCTGACTCATGGCAGGCAAAATGAATGAAAATGAGGATGGGAGGCAGCAACTTTGATTTTACAAGTGTTCTCACTAGACATATGCTCATTATACTACTTTTTTAATAGATACTTCTCAATAAACAATCTCAGATAAAAAAATTCAATATTAGAGTATTAGTAAAGGTAAAAAAAAAATTCAGTACCTGAAACTTGAAAACATGAAACCATGAATACCTAACTTCATGTCTCGACATAAAAAAGTACCATTCAGCCAGTATTCCCAAGGATGTTTTTGGAAAGAACACTATAATTTTCACAGCATTCTTCAAAATAAGGGTATACACTAAGTAACTTTTACTTCCCCCTTAGGTGTTATAGGTTTCTAGCATAACTGATTTTTAAAATTTAAAGGAACAGAGGCCCAGAAAGGTGAAGTGATTTGTTCAAGGTCACAGATCAAGTGCCAGCTGAATCTAAACTAAACCTGATCTGACTCCAGTACTTTTCCTATTACAATGTTTAAACCCACATTTAGGAATATAACTTTACTTGGGGATACAGACAATAGTACTTTGCTGAATATGCCTCTTTTGGCCTCTTTTCTTGTCCATTATATGTTAATTTATTAAGAACTATTAAGAACTGAAAAACATCTTGCATTTTTCAACTTCAGTAGCACCTTCAGTAAACAAGTTGTGCAATCTGATACATTAGGTAACATTTTATTGTTACCTGTTCAACAATAATTATCTTCAGTTTGTAATGGGGGCTCCACATGTCTAATATTGGTAAGTTTTTATTCATGCTACCAACACTGTTTTCCATCTCGTAAGATCAAAATTCTTTTATTAAAGCAGGAACTATGCCAGAACTATCTGCCTGCCTACCTATCAACTGAGTAGCAGAAAGCTCCTCAAAGTAGTTACTAAGAAAAATGACTAGTTTTGAAATGCCTCTCAAATTTCAAGTGGAAGCAAATTTAGTTTTAATTTTATTCAATAGTACTTTAGAAGATGGTGAAGGAACATCTGTGTATTCTCAAACATAACTACTAACACAGATGCTAAGTAGTAAATTGCTCGTCCTGAAAGGTTTGGTTGTAAGGCAATGGATATTAGGAAAGAATAAATTTTCTTTCACCATTCCTATCTCCAAAGGCATGCAGAGAGGCAAAAAGATTAGGTGGCTTAACTGGCTAAGGCAGGCATATATAGAGAGGGCAAACCTATAGTACATGATCATTTGGGAACCACTAGAATTGCCAAATGAACGCTAACTTGAGGATGGGCTAGTTCACTGAAAACTACGCCTGTTAAAAGCAATAGTAAAATATAAATGTAGATTGGAATGATGCAATCATTTTATACTACCAAGTTATAACAAAATAACTACCATGAATCAACTTGGAAATAATCTTTGCTTAAAATTTTCTAAACTTAAATAAAAACTTTCTAATAGATTGCAAACTCCTTGACAGGACACCTGTTTGCACTTCAACTTTTTGTTCTTAAATCATTTAGCATAGTTGCCTAAATAGAGTATGTACCTAATAAATATTGTGAGTAAAGGAAACTGATTTGTAATGAAGAGGACGGGGATTCATTAAAATTTATGCAGGATAAGGATAGTATTTATTCTATTTTTGACTTATTCTCACCCCTAACCTATACATTTCCCCCCTAAACAAAACTAGACTAAAGAATAAATGTGGAAAATGTTAAATGTTTGCATGAGTTACATCAACATACTTTTAAGCATTGGATATCAATATATTTTTGGAATGCAAATAATTTGAAATGAAGAAACATTTTTATGAATCTTCCAAAAAATCCAGTCATTTTAAAGCAATTAATTCTTAAAACTAGCAATCTCATGATTAAACACTTAAATAGGAATACACAAGCCTCAAAATTTCCTTGACCATTGAGCTAACAAGGATAAGAAAATGAAAAGGATCAAGTATACGGAAGCATAAAGTATTGAAAACACCTAGGAAATTAGGACGAGAGGTACCCTATTCACTACCAAATTATTTCTCTCTACCCTTACTAATTTCCTAGGTGAGTAACAATCTTGGCTTTCCTTTAGAATGAAGAATTCAAATTAAGAATTAACACCTGAGCATATATCAATAATATAAACGCCTCTGACAGATTATTCTGAAGAAAGTATACAAATGGGATCAGGCTTAAAATCTTTGATTACCTGAAAGCTTGAGACCTCGTTCTCCTACTTGTGTGTCATATCCATGTGGCATTCGAAGAATTGCATCATGAAGTCCAGCTAATTTTGCCACTGTGTACACTTCCTCAGGTGAAGCGCTGATGTTTCCATATAAGAGGTTGTAGTAAATAGTATTATGGAAGAGGACAGCATCCTGAAGTAGATATATATATATATATATATATATATATTTCATTACAAAACTGAAACAATTGTGAAGACATAAAGAATAAAATATGACAGCCCCTTTTATTACTCCCCATCCATATGATCCCGTTTCCCTTCCTAGAGCTAATTACCATGAATGATTGGGGGGTTTTGTGTTTGTCTATTTGTTTTGAGACAGGGCCTTGCTATGTATATTCAGGATGGCTTGGAACCTGCAATCCTCCTGCCTTTGCCTCCCTAGTGCTATGATTACAGGCATATACCACCACACCCTGCTTGATTTGTTGTTTTAATTTCAGACTTTTTCTATGCATATATATATATATATTTCTAAATATGTTTTCAAGTATGAATGGAGTAATTCTATACACATTATTTCAAAAATTGCTTTTCCCACTGGATATATTCTGGAAATTGTCCGTATCAGTAACAGAAACCTACTTTATTCTTTTAATAGCTGCACATTTCATACTATGGATATATCATAATTTATTTATTCTCCAAATGATGAACATTAATGTGATTAATAATTTTTTATACTACTATGTTGGAATAAACCACCATTATATCTATAACTTTACACACCTGGGTATTTCTATAAGGATTCCTAGAATTTCCTAGTGTGACCCTAGGTGAGCCAAAAGTTGAGTGTATGTTTATCCTTTGATATTACTGCCCAATTATCTTCCAAAAACAGCAACCAATAATGTATGGGTACACTCTAATCAATGGTGTATGAGGTTGCCAGTTCCTCATTTCTTCAGCAACCCAGACTTTAACAACTTTAAGTTGTTGTTACTTTTAGAGGTAGAATCTATTTTTTATTTAAATTAGCATTTCTTTAATTACTAATGAGATTAAATATGCTTTCCTATATTTTTAACAAGCTTTGATATTGAACTTGAAATACAGAAACAAAGAATTTATGCCATATGTATTTGTGTATGTATATATAGATATAGATACAGATTTCTCTATACTTGAATTAATCTAATATTATAAAATTGGGTTATTTTATTTTGCTTGATATCCTTTTTCAACAAGCTTTATCTACATATTGCTCATAACACTCAATATTCTTTAAAAACATAATATATATAAATGGCTGCACAATACTTAATCCTATGATGATACTTTAGTCATCTAGTTATTGTTGGGCATTTATACTGTATCCAATTTTTGCTATTATAAATAATGCTGTAATGAACATCTTTGTATACAAACTTGTTCATGTCTGTTTAATCCCTTGCTAAAATTTCCTACAGAAAGAATTATTAGAATAAGCAGTACAAATATTTCTCAGGCATGTCATATACATTACCAATTTGCTTCCACCAGCAAAACAACGGACTGTCCATTTTACACAGTACTGCCCAAACTGGATATTATGAATTTCAAAATCCTTGTCAATCTCATAGGTAAAAATGGTATCCCACTGTTCATTTAACTTATATTGCTAAGGCTTCCAAAGAGGAAGAACATCTTTGCTCTTGTTTAATGATCCTGCATATTTTTCTTTTGTGAAAAAAATTTTTTTTTCAGAAGGATAAGGGTAATCATATAGTCTTAAAGAATGGCAGGAATCTAGTTATATGAATGAAGACACAAAATTCTATGTAACCACAGCCCAGAATCCAGTTTAGGTCAGTGTTTCTCAAAATATAGCCTACAAACTATCAGAATCGCCTAGGTATGATACATATTCAAAAATGCAGGGTTTTTCGCTCCACATTGCTCTCCAAAATCAGAACTATGGTGTATGAAAAAGAACTGGAATTTCAATACTCTCCCTAGGTGACTCATACCTACTAAAATTTGGAATTCTCAGTGCAAGAGAGGAGAGAGAAGAGAATAATATGTTGGATCACGTGGGGACAGTGTATAAGTGACATAGACCTATCTGATCACTTTCTTACAGTATCTACACCCCCCTTATTTTGATCTGTTCTTCCCCGCAACTTTATAATAAATACTAGCTACAACTGATACTCAGATATCTCTAAAAGCATTCTTTCTTTTTTTGTGTGTGGTACTGCGGATTGAACCAGGGTCTTGTGCATGTTAGGCAAGCATTCCACCACTGAATTACATCCCCAGACCTCTTTATAAACTTTCAATATAAGACTACCTGCTTCTTCTCTCCTCAGATCTTACTTTGAATTTACTTTCCCCTCAATGTCACTCAACAAATATTTATTAAATGTTTACTATGGGTCAGGTACTATGGTTAGTAGTGTAGATGCAGTGGTAAATAAGGCATACCAACTTGAGGTTGGCAACCAAACTACTTTATAATTATAAATTTACTATGTTGAAATTATTCAAAATTACAATAGTAGTTTCCATTTACTGAACAATTATATAATGAATGGTGCATTTGATGGTTTATATATATATGCTATCTCTAATCTGTAATAATCCTATCTTACCAGATAAATGATACCTTTTAGAGATGAAGAAACTGAGGCCCAAGGCCACAGAATTAAAAAGTCTTAGAGTTAGGGTTAAAATCAGGTCTGTTTGATTCTAGTATGTGCTCTTTTTAAATCTACTATAATATCATGGGAGGGCTCAGAAATATTACTATCATGTAGATTTTCCATTCAAGTTTTTTCATGTCCAGTTTTTAAAAATTCATTTTGGCAACATAATTTTGTATCAGGCCTGATGCTCACTATTAACTTCATTAGCATATGTTGACCCTCTGGATTCAAACTGTTCTAGTTAAGTATCCACCAACCCAATAAATGTCCGAAAATTTGTATTGTTCTGCTTTTAAATACCTGAGGTACCACTCCCACTGCCCTTCGAAGGCTTTCCAGGCTCACATCTTGTATATTTTGACCAGCAAGGTAAATGCTACCCTTTTGAGGCTCATAGAAGCGAAATAACAGTCTCACTATTGTGCTTTTCCTGAAATTGGAGATGAGAAAAGGTTATTCAACTGCTGTTGTCATTTGGGAACCCCACTTTAAACCGTAGCAATCATTTCACTAAGAAAAAAAAATCACACTAAGAATTATCAATTAATAAGGCAGAATTTTATAAATAACTAAATTACCCACCCTGACCCACTACCTCCTACAATAGCAACTTTCTTTCCTGCAGGGACTTCAAAAGATATTCCACTAAGGACTTTCTGTCCTTCAATGTATTCAAAATGCACATTATCAAAGGCCACCGTAGCTGTCTGTGGTGTGATCTGAAGGGGAGATGCCATCTCTTTGTCCTAGCAGGGAAGAGAAAAAAAAAACCTACTTTACACACTACCTTAAGTATAGCAACACAGACAATTTTTAATTCAACAGAAAGAAAATGGAAAATAATGGGAAGAGGAGGTTTATATAAGTAGAATTAGGCCACTTCTAAGCAAGCTTTTAAAGGTTTGTTTTTCACTTCTCACTGCTAAGGTAAAAAATCATGAACGTTTTGGTTGCTGGCCAACTTTTTGGGGTGAAGGGTGAGAGGGGAAAATAAGAGTGGAGGATGTGAGGAGAGGCAATTATACATTCATTATTAGCAAAACTAAATCTCATTTAAGTATAAACAATTGAACAAAACTTATAGGTATAATATTCACTGCTAACACTATATATTTTTAAAACATATAACCAAAAGCTGTAACAACCTCTTAATACACATGACAGACCCAGTTCCTATAAGAGAAATTGGTTTGCTAACATGGTGATGTAAGAATATTTCTCTAGAGTAACCCATTATTAATAGGATGATGTCACATACTTTTGAAAATGTACTATATAGATTACTTACTTTAATACGGGTGTCTACCTTGAGTAGAGTAAACAAGGTGTTCATATCTATGAGTGCTTGTCTAGTTTCTCTATATACAGTTCCCAGGAAGTTAAGGGGTAATGAAAGCTGAAAAAGCAGTCCATTCACCATTACTAGATCACCAACGGTAAGGGCACCTTAATATTCAATTGGTAGAAGGAGGAAAAAAAGATATTTCAGATGAATTTATAAACTTTCCCACCTTAAGAGAGAATTTTATTTTCTATTATGATAAAATACAGTTCAAAATATACATAATCAGCAACTATTATGGGCCCACACAATTTTGAAGCATATTAATCCATGATTTAGGTAACATAACTTGGCATATGTTAAGTGGAATGGGAAAAGCCCACTTATACACTATATGTAGTACATAAAAAAAGAATGGTTTAAGTGAGGATAAAAAGAGAAAGTTAAAAAAATTCTTTTTTCTCTTAAGACATAAGCAATAGTTTATAGGATAAAATAGAAATTTTATAAAAGCATGTCCATTAAAATTGGAGCAAGTGTCTATCATGATTGAGAATGAAAAACCTCATATGAATGTCATGGTGAATGAATGAATTCTAATTGAGCGGGGAGGTTTACAGAAAAGAGGTATAATCATTATTTACTTTTGAAGTGTTATGCAAATGGAAAAAACTAATAGAGTATAAGGTTACTTGTAATTCTAAAAAAAGAAAGCTTTATTTTAGTCCTTTGGACTAAATTAATAACCTTGCTTTTCAGGTCTACAAGAGAAATTGTAAACATAAGATGCTACAAAAAAGCTCCTGAATCAGGTCATAGACCCACAAAATGTGTAAACACTAATCCCATTCAATTAGAGAGCCAGTGCTAATCAAAAGGAAGTAAAAAAATACTGTAAATCAAGAAAATACAGTCTTATATTAAAAGGAAAGCAGTCCAAAAGTGCTAAAGCACTTTTTAAAAAAATGATTCATTTATTCACATGTGCATACATTGTTTCTCCCTGCTGCCCCCCTCCCCCACCCTCTCACCCCCTCCCCCTTCGCTTCCAGGTAGAACCTGTTCTGCCCTTATCTCTAATTTTGTTGAAGAGAAGACATAAGCATAATAAGGAAGACAAAGCATTTTTGCTATCTGAATTAAGGATAGCTACACAGAGAGATTCCTAGCATTGCTTTCCTGTACAAATGTGTTACAACCCAATTTGAATCTCTAACTGATCTTTACACTGGTTCCTGATCTAAAACACTTTCTTGAACATCCGTTTATAATTAAAACTAATACACATTCCTTTCATTAAGTTTTACTCATAAAAGCTAAATTAAATAGTCTATAAATGTGATAACCACAAATCCATTACCTGCAACAATTCCCTGACTGGCGAGCACCATTATAGCTGTTAAACCGATACTGAAAATAGCACTTTGGCCAAAGTTGAGCATAGCCAGAGTAGAGGTACTTTTCAATGATGCAGTCTCATATGTCTTCAAAAATCCATCATATCTTTGTGCTTCATATTTTTCATTATTAAAATACTATAAAATATATAAAACAGTAATATGAATAAATCTAGTTGGATTTAAGTGATTAGTATAAGTTTATAAGTTTCATCAAACTTCATATACAGACACAATTTTGTAACACAGACTCCATTTTAAAAACTAACTTTCAATACATTGGACTATGGTTCCTGCAGTTTTCTACAATGGATTGATTGTACTTGAAAAGTCCACAAAATTCATTCAATGAACATTTACCAAATGCCCAGTTAACCTGTATCTAGATCTTTGAAAAGCCTTCAGTGACATTTCTTTCACAAAGCCTTTCCCTGATCCTTTGAATTTGCAGTTCCCACTGCCCTTGCAACATCATGTCCTCTTCTTTAGTCATCTGCATACTAGATACTAGAAAATTAACTCTTCTAGTAGATTATAAAATTCCAGGACGGCAAAGATTATTCTGTAATCATTTTTTTATCACACCTCCATCACAACAGTTAGTGCTTTACACAGGAGAAGAATTCAGTAATTATTTGTTAAATTGAAAAAAATGAACAAAAAGTAAAAAATTCATGAAAAGCACTATGCTGGGCACTCTGAGGGACAGAAAGAGGGTGAAGAACTAACATGTTTGCTTGATTAGCTAATGTTCATTCTGAATCAAGATGCTAACCAAAAACATGGCTAATTCAGAAGATAAAATTTCTGATGTTGCCAAACAAAAACTGAGGAAAGACAGCTCTTTCTAAACAAAAGAAAAACAAGTAGTATTATTCCATCACACCTAGAAATCCTATCCTCATCTGATGCTCTATCTTATAGCACCTATTAAATTAAATGGCAGAACAAATCTTAATGTAGTGTGAAAAGCCAGGCAGGTGGCACATGCCTGTAATCCCGGGTCCTTGGAGATAGAGATCAGGAAGACTGTAGTCCGAGGCCAGCCCAGGCAAAAATTTAGTGAGAATCCAGTATCAATCAATATTTAGTGAGAATCCAGTATCAATCAATATGTTGGGCATGATGGTGCACACCTGTGACCCCAGCTATGTGGGAAGCTCTAGGTAGGGGGATCAAGGTATAAGACCAGCCATGAGCAGAAACACAAGACTCTACCTAAAAAATTACTAAAGCAAAAAAGGGCAAGGGTGGTGATTCAAGTGGTAGAGAGCCTGTTTAGCAAGCACAAGGTCCTGAGTTCAAACCTCAGTACTTCCAATCTAAAAAAGAGAGAAAAAGACAGAAGAAAGCATAATTAAATATATTACCTTCACAGTTTCATAATTCAGCAGTGAGTCTATAGCAGCATTACCTGCATCATTATCCGCCTTGTTCATTTCTATTCTAAATCTAGTTCTGTAAGACAAAGATTTGCACAAGCATGAGATGTATGTTTTAAAAAGAAAACTAACTTCTGAACTTTCACTAGCCTCTGGGGGATACCATACCTCCACCGTGTGATTGCAATTGTGAATACTGTATATGCACCAAGTGTTCCTAGGGTTACCAATGCAAACTGGGCACCACATTTGTAATACTGGAAAAAGAGGTCAAGAGAAAAAAAATGAGAAAGTCACTGTTCTTACCCAATAGTTTATAATATATAGCAGCAAACCTCAGTCAAAAGGTATTTATAGAAAATATGGTGGTAAGTTGTATATGTCAATAGTGGATAACAATCAACTACCATAAGACTATCTACTTTAGGTAACAAAGAAAGTCAAACTTCACTTGCTTCATTTATACTACCATCAAATGTACTAAGAAAAAGTATATGCACACACACACACACATACTCATACTTTTAACTATAAAAGAGGAAATTGTCTAAAAACATTAGAAGTGTGAACAGAAACCTGGATATTCTGAGCGTATCAGTCCAATGCTATTTACAAAAATCTCTGCTAAAAAAAAAACTTTGCAGGCACTAATTGCTGATCTATGCATAGGACTAAACAGTTTTTTAAAATAAAAACATGATAAAGAATTTGGACAGTCCTTTGAAGCCTGTGGCAAAACAATTAAAGTACATAATCTTTCTGGCATCAAAAAATCTTACTTTCAAACTCATGATTATGCAACAGCATAACAGTTTCAAATATGCAATTGTTATTAATGAGAATGTATGATAAAAGCTTGTTATGAAAATGTATTACTTACCAAAACACTACTGACAAGCATCATCTCAAACATGATGGGGAGAAGATTAAATACTAATGCACTCAGGACAAAACTGATACCCCTTGTTCCTCTGTCAATAGCTTTAGATAAAGCTCCTGTCTGTCTGCTCAGATGGAAACCCAGATCCAGGTTGTGAAGATGGAGAAAAACATTTTTGGCTATTCTTCGGATAGAATTTTGGGCTACTTTTCCAAATACTGCATTTCGAACTTCATTAAAAAAGGCAGCTCCAGCTCTTGATACACCATCTAACAATACATTGAAAAGAAAAATGGGGTGTAAAAACAGAATCAAAGCAGTGTAAAATGGCAAGGGCTCAGAAAAACTTTTGTATAATGAATAATTCAGTCAATTAATATAAGAGAACATTTACACTAAAATAAACCTAGGAAGCATCTATCCAAAGTGAGTACTAACTTTTCCATCATCATGAATCCCTTTCAGTGTTATTTTCCCTTAAATTTCAAATACTGAAAAAATTTTCCAATTAAAATACTTTTAATATGGCCTCACTGCAGATAAGTACATAACACTTATTGAGGTTTTGATTTAATTCAATTCCCTCAAGTAACAAATGGTAAGACTAAGGCCCTGAAAAGTCAAATGCTTTGACTAAATGCTGTCCTCACTCACGTCTCTCAAGCCTCATAGTGTCCTTTTTAGTGAATAGAGCCACACAGAATTCATATTGCTCTTTTCAATTTGTAGATTCGTGTCGTGGCTATTGAATATATTTTAATAAAGCACTGATGTACAAATGTATCATTATTTAGCTATTTCTATGTAACAGCTAAAATCAGCAAGAAAGTAACTGGTCTTACTAAAAAGGTTATCTAAAAATAAGCTCATTAGAAATGGCCTTTTATAAATTTAATATCTTATTTCATATTATTGTTTTCTAGAATGTAGAAAATACTAGCATTATCATGGAATTTTTACAAAATATATCAAAGAACTAAAAAAACCTATCAAAAATCTCACTTAAAATAATAAATATCCAAAATGCTAAGTTGTGTTTGTGATAAAAAGGTCATCTGTTTCAAATACGATGAAACCTTCTTGAAGAAAGTCAACACCTGTAGACAGATTAAAGAATCACACATACAGCCAATCAGAACTGCTGTTGCCATGGTTGCAACTGTATTTGGTGCATCACTCAGGTTCAGCATGTTTCCCGACATCTGGTTGAGGCTGTCTACAGCATATTTAAACATAAAGGGAACCACAATATTCATGGCCTAAAAAGATAAAAACATCAATTACCCATCATCTATAAAATATTTATAAAGGTATAAATATTTTCCTTATATTAATACTTATGGTAATATTTAGATATTAACTATTTACTGGTATTGGAACGATTTACCCTGTTTATAAAAACAAAATCTTTGGCATTGGGAGAGCTGTCATTTCAGGATTCCTACATTATACTGCCATGATAATATTCATTTACAAGCTATGTGAATTAGTCAAATGTTCCTACTTCCATGAAATCATCATTGATCAGCTACTCAAAAATGGTTTCTGTAATGTGAAATCCTACAATGCCCATGGCACTTAATGACAAATTGCTTTATAATTGTTTGTTTGTATGTATTTATTTCCTTTTGTACTATATTCTTGAGGGTCTGTATTATATTACTTTTTTTGTCCCACACAAGGTGAGTATATGCTTGGTATGCAGTAGGTATTCAATAAGTATTTTAAGGTGACCTATTCACCAAAGTGTTAAACTGAAATTATACAGCAAAAAAAGAATCTCAAAAGCTGTGGCTGATTCACTACTGAAAAAAAAAAAAAACACTGATAGATCTATTTGTCCCACAAAAAGATTCTTTGTTCCAATATCATTCAAAATAAAACCATTGAATACCAAATCTTAAAAATTAAGAGTACACCACTTTCATATATTCAAGGCAAATATTTAATCATTCACAGTCTAGATTTTCTGCAGAGTTATAGTATCAAAAACATCAACCATAATTTAGGAATAGGCAGTTTGTTACCCAAGTTTTCTTATAAGAAATTAAACTGATACATTTTAGTAACAAGTGGAAACAATTCTATAAGGCCTGAGACTCAAACCATAGATCTTGTTCCATCATTAAGTTTAGCTAGAACCAACAGAAGCTATGTATACCTTACCAATCAAGATTTCAAGGTAAAGTATATAACAGTTCTTAGCAACCAAGCAGGTGCCAAGCAGGTATTCTTTCATTAAACAATAACAATAATTTCAACAGCTGTTGAAATTCTTTTAAGAATAATGTTTTGAGATAAACTGCTTAAAGCTTTAAGGTTTCTAACTTCCAAAGTATAATCTAATGCAGAATATATGGTAGGTCCCAAGTAGTATAAATTCTTCAATTCTGATTTTCTTAAAACCACAGTGGCTTCTCTTGAAATGGTCTTCCTTTCCTTCTCTATCTCACTACCTTCCGAAGCCCAATTTGAATCACATTTCTTTCATAATGCCTTCTCTGAGACTTGGGGAAAATTTGGCCTGTTCCATTTTCTAATGACTACCTTTTTATAGTTTATACCTCCATATTTACCACTTTAATGATATATTTCTCAGTTTACAGATATGGTGCTAGGTACTGTTCTCATAAAGGTGAGGGCTGGAAGAAATAACAATTCTATGAAACAGGTATTATTGCTATAGTTGAGGAAACTGAGGTTTAATGACTTAACTGCTAAATAAGCAGAGCTGAGATTAAAATCCAGACCTGACACTTGAAGTCAGAATGTTTTCTAGTATACCATACAGCTACATTAGCAGCTTATAAGGCAGGAACCATGTATTTTATTTCTTTTCCACCCTAAAAAGGGAACATTTAAATGTACTGTTTAAATCATTTACAGTTGTAAGTATATCATAAGTAATTTAAATAAATTTGAGCAGATTCTAGGTTTTCCATATAATGAGGTAATGAAGCCACATTCCCTCACCTGCATTTTAATATATTTTCTTAAAGAGGTGGAAAAGTGATATAGCTAAAGGTACCATGCAATTCTCCTAACTCACAGCTTATTATATCTTTGCCACAGATGTAGCAAATGATGATTGAAACTAATGTGTTGCCAATGAAGTTGTGCAATTTTACTTTCTTGAAAATGTTTTTAGTGGTTAATCAAATTTGGGAACATCCTTGTAAATATGCAGAACATGTGAATGTCATCTGTCCTGTGTTGTTACTTGGCAAGAAAACTGTAGTTAGCACAGTGCTAAGAACATGGCACTACCTCAAATTATAGCTGAATACTGTCAGTTTTCTCACAAAGGTAATTTTTAAAAGGAAATAAATAACTGTGTGTATTTAAAAAGGAAAGAGATACACTAATAATAAAAATAGGATGGGCAATATGATGTATAGATGTTTTCATTAGTGTATATTACGTAGGTTTCAGAGGCCTAGTGATATGTTGGGTGCATATCTATGTTGCATACTAGTTTTCCCTAATATTCTGCCTTCAGCAGAACTAGACTTAACCCATCCTAGTAAAATTAGAATCCTTTGTGAAAACCTTCTATTTTGAAATAATTATAAACTTACAGAAGTTGCAAAACTAGTACAAAGAGACACATGTACCATTCATCCAGCATCTCTTAATACCTTATATAGCTGCAGTACAATATCAAAACCAGAAACTTAACACTGGTGCATTACTATTGATGACACTACAGAACTCATTCACTTTTCAACATTTGTTAACCTGTATTCATGTGTATCAGTGTGACATACGCTCATCTACGTGGTTTTATGCAATTTTATCTCATGTCCAGATTCATGCAACCACTATCACAATCAAGATACAGAATTATTTCACATCACAAGAGAACTCCTTTGTGCTTCCTCTTTGTATTCACTCTCATTCCACCTAGTGCCACCCCAGTTATTGTTTCCTGGCAACCACTAATTTGTTCCTGACCTCTATAGTTTGTTCATTCTGAGACCATTATATAAGTATGTACTGTATGATAAGAATCATACAGTACATAATCTTTAGATACTAGCACTTGTTTTACTCAGCATAACGTTTTTACATTCATCAAGGTGGTTACATGTATCAATGGCTCATCCTACTTTATTCTGAGAATTATTCCATGGATGTACCAGAATTGATTCAACTTTTCATCCCTGAAGGACATCTGAGCTATTTATAGTTTGTATTACGGCTAAAGATGTTATGAACATTTTCATACAGATGGATGTAAGTTTTCATTTCTCTGGGACAAATGCCCTAGAGTCCAACTGCTAAATCATATAGCAAGTCTATGTAGAATATTTAAAAAGATTGTCATACTCTTTCCAGAGTGACTATACCATTTTACAATAGCCAACCAAATATGAGTGACCTAGTTCCCCTGCATCCTCACCAATATTTGGTACTATCACTATTTTTCTTATTCTGAAACTGCTGTAACAGCTGTGTACAATACAAATAGGCCAGTACAGAAAAATAATAAATTATAGTTACATGAGAACAAGAAGTCTTGGTGTGCTACTGCAAAGTAAGGTAGGTTTCAATGTTTCCACCACAAAGAAATGATAAATGAGATCTATTTAACCTTAACATCACACAATGTATACATGTACTAAAATATCACTTAGTAACCATAAATATATACAATTTTCATGTTTTTATGTATCAGTTAAAAATTTTAATTAAAAAAAGTTTAACATGTTACCACCAAAAAAATTAATTTAAAAATTACCTAATCTGAACAAGGAGAAAACAGACTAAAGACGAAATGAAAAGAGGTGAAGCAAACTATCAAAATAAAGAGGAATCTTGCAGGAAACAAATAATAAAATAGTGGCATGAATTCCAAATATATCAACATCAATATAATTATCAACATATTATATAATAAGTAATATAAATCAATAAGCATTAATACACCAACTTGTTACCAATGAATAATTAGGAACCAAAACTCAAAAAAGAAAACTATATCTCTCCCTAACAACAACAAAACAGAAAATTTTAAGTATAAATCTATTCAGGATCTCTCAATCTACTGACATTTTGGTTTTGATAATTCTTGTGGAAGGAACCGTTTTATGTACAATGTTTAGCAGTGTCACTAACCTCTACCTTCATTCCAGTAGCCTGCCCCATCCCTTTAGTTGTGACCAAAACAATGTTCTCTTGAGGTCAAAATCATCCCTGGTTGGGAAACACTGGTCTAACCCAACAAAAACAGAGTCTTTAAGTTAAAAGCTACCAACGCTGATGAAAGAAATCAAACAAGACCTAAATAAACAGATATTGTATTCATCTACTATGAAGGTTCAACAGAATAAAGGATGACAATTATTCCCAAATTATTTGATAGATTTTATAAAATTTCATTAAAATACTATCAGGCATTTTTGTAGCTGTGGACAGGATTATTCTAAAATTTATATAGAAAAGCAAAGAAACTGGAATAGTCAAATCAATTTTGAAAAAGAAGACTATGAAACTATAAAAATTAAGACACTATATTACTGGCAAATGGAGAGACACACAGACCAATGAAATATCATAAGATTTCAGAAAAAGACCCCACATATATGACCATGGTAGGATAATGGTTCCCTGAATATCTCCATGTACTCATCTCCAAACATGTAAAGATGATACCTTACATGGCAAAATGGACTTTGCAGATGTGATCAAGCTAAAACAGACAAGTGGGGAAAGTATCCTGGATTACCTGAGTGGGCCAAATGCAATCACAAGAGTTCTTACGGAAGCAGTAGAATCAAAGTCATGGGAGAAAATAGGACTATGGAAGCAAAAAGGTCAGAGTTAGAGACTGAAGATGCTATTGACATTGAAGGTAGGGGAAGAGGTCACTAGCCAAGGAATGCAAGCAAACTAGAGACTCAGGAAAAGGCAAGGAAATAGATTCTCCCCAAGAACAGCCCTGCCAAATTATCTTTAATTCAACTTACTGAAACCTCATTTTGGACCTCTAGTTTTCAGAAATATAAGTGTATGTTAAGCAACTAAATTTGTGATAATTTGCTAGAATAGCAAGAGGAAATGAAGGAAACTCAATGAAGAAAGAATAGCCTTGGTGTTGGAAAAACTGGACAAAAAATAAACTTCCACCTAAATCTCATATAAGAGTCAACTCAAAATGGAATATAGATCTAAATATAAAAGATAAAAATATAAAACTTTTAGAAGGAAACATAAGAAAACAATCCTAATGACCTTGAGGTAGGTAAACAATTCTTAGACATGACAACAAAAGCATAATACATAAAGAGAAAGATAAACTGGCAATTATCAAATTAAAAACATCTGTTTTAATAAGACACTATTAAGGGAATTAAACAAGCTATGTATGGGAAGAAAATATTCACAAATCATTTATCTGAGAAAGGTCTTTTATTCATTACATAAAGAATTTACTAAGCTCCAGAGGAAAAATAAACAGACCAATTAAAAATGGACAAAACACTTAAAAGACACTTTATAAACATGGATATATGGATTGGCA